ACAAATTCACAGCTTCGACTTGTCATCGTTGCCTAGCTGGCCTATTGCTGCGTCTTTCGGCCGCATCGAGCTGGCGTTCTAGCTTGCTAGCTGCTCTTCTAGGCCAGCTAGCCTTCTTCGTGGTAGGCGGCCACCAAGCTGTATTTTCCAGCCTACCCTGGTCCGCTGCATTCTTGCTCAGCCTTGGTCCGCCAACGACACGGCTGCTTCCCGCTAGTCTGGTTCTTGGCCACCTTTTCGCCGGCCCCGTGCTTGTTGCTGCTGCTGGTTTGCCTCTTCTTCTGGTTGGCATGGCCGCCCGAATCGAGGTGAACTCAGAACCCTTTGTGTCTACCAAGAAGCTAGACGATAATATCAAGATCTCTGAGCAGGCTACTGCTCGTGGGACCACTTTCGATGGCGCTCATTGCGCTCCTGATGATGATGGAAGCGGGACTAGAAACGATTGTGACGGGGCTTCTGTTGCGATTGGAGACGATCCTTGTGGACAGTGTCGTTACAGCCGTCATATGAAGTTCAGCTCTGATTCCAGCCACATGATTTATGTGAAGGACGAATTCACACTATTCGAATCGCCGACGGCCTGTAGGATGTTCATTACAGCCTTGGATTGTCTGTATGCCCGTTTTTTATTCATCAATTTACTTTGGGTAGGTCATTGTTTTTGTCTCGAAGCTTAATCTCTGTTCTTAATTATGCCAATCATTTGTAGTAATAGAGTCATGCAAACTTAAAACCATGTTGCTTCTATATAACTTATAGCATCAACTATATTTGTTATATATAGTAAATGGGAAAATATTTTCATTATTTAATAAAAGCACACCAAAATCATGTTTTCCGTTTCCTATAAGGTATTAATTGTCTTATTTTTGCTTCATTTTAAAATGCCAAGTATCTCACATCGTTCCTCTGGCCTAAATCTTTTGGAACTCATTGGGTTTTTTTTCATTTGTAATGCTTACTTTTTCATACCTTATTACATAATATGTAACCACTAAAATTCATGCCTAAATATATCCATTTAGACGTTTCGTTTCCCCTAACTGGCCTTCATCCTGACTATTCACTTTTGGTAGGTTTCGATGCTACCAGCTGATTTTAATTGAGAACTTTATTCACCCTGGGTTACAAAGTAATCCAATAGTGCCCTTTGACAGTGTGGCGCACTGGTAACATGTCGAAAGTGTTTATCTGAACTACTAAGGTTCGGTTATCCTTTGGGAGGTACTAGTAAGATCTTGGCGAGTTATAAACTTCAGTCCACCCTGATCGAGAATGGTCAATCAAATTCACTGGTCTTCCTTGAAACAAGGCCACTCGTTGCAGTATGGCGTAGTGGCTAATTTGTCGAGACTATGCCCTGGGCTAAACGGGTTCGATTTCCGCTAGAAATGCTGATAGATCTGGGCTAGGTTGGAACCTCAGTTCGCCCTGGTTGAAAATACCTTTTGGGAAGCAGGATTATTTGCAATTCGGTGGAAACGCGAGGCTACTCATCTGATTGCCGGAAAATTCACTTAAACAAAATAGGCTTAATAAATCTCATATAGTTCTTAATAGTTAATGATTTGGGAGAACTTATTGAGTGTATCCTGTCGTGTTCTCCTGATTGACTGCAAGTGATCAAAGTCAGTTTAGATCTCTATTGCGGTTAAAGTATTGCCTTTATTATCTATTGCACAAAGTAGTGTCGTAATCAAGCAATACATTTCCTGGCGTTCTGGTTAGTCACTTGCCTAAGCACCGATGTGTCAACCCTATTACTCTCCCCGTCCTCTGATGTCTCTTGGTCTTTTGCTACAATTTGTTCGAAAATTGCGAACTTGCTCTTCATTCTCATTATAGTATTCGAGACTATTGTCGATGCATATATTATATGTAGTTTATGATTTATTACAGTTCACAAATGGTTTCATATTTACTATGGGCCGTGTCTGACAGTTCCAAGAATGGATGATTAAAAACACAGTTAGCAAATAGTGCTGAATAGTCTTACTGCTTATTTCTCGCCAACATTAGGTGGCAAGTTGTACTACTTATAAAAGGTTAATCCTTTAACTCATTTCCTTGACTGGTGAGGGCCATGTTCGTAATTTTTATAAATTGCGTCCCACGATATGTCCTCAAATATTTAATTCTTTTCACATCTATTGGCTGCATATTGAATATGGTGTTAACAAGCATAAATTCCGGATGTATGCCTCTCGAGCTCTCCAAATTAGGATGTGCGATGCAATTGCCAATAATTAGAAGCACTTTTCTTGATTTCTGCTGTACTTCCTTGTCACAATTTATTAGCCACTTATTTAAAACTTCACGAGTAATCTACGCATTCTTGTTAGCTTAGCACTGAACAGGAAACGGTCGATTCCCAACTTCTTAAGGCATCAAGGCTTATCACTTTCTTAGATTCGTTTTATCAGTTTCTTATATGATCGGCGTGGCATGATAAAGCAGACCTTTTTCATCGGCATTGTAGATATAATCTTAACAAAATTTCTGAAGTGCTTTGTCAGTTTTTAGCTTTCCATTTTTCTGGACTTACAGCATCAGCACTATCTTTCTCGCTATGAATTTTCTTAAATTTTGTGTCACGTCTAAATTCCCATCGATACAATCAACCATTTTTTTGCTTCGAAATATTTGTAATTTAACTTTTAGTTAACTCCTCTGACCTAGGAGTGGTTTGATCTCATTTACGCAACTTTTTCTTGTGAAAGACAGTAAGAAATAACACCTGAAGTAAAATGTTTACTATGACTGGAACCAAGTGAAATCAGTATGATAAGAAACGAATCTCCGAGACTATGAGGGAGATTCGGATAGGCGGTCGGATTCGGATCAGCGATTCCGGCAAGGAGGGCAAGGTAAACAAGCAGGTATGATAACGCCCCACTAAACTTTAAAGGAGTTAAATTTGAACAAGTCGGATGTTCTGATGAGATAATGAGATACAAGGATAGATAGTGTCTTGATGCATCGGAATAGAAATATAAGTAATACTACAACCGTTTGGCAGAAAGTTGGCCAAAGGATTTACTTCACTTGTTTGTTACGAGTTGTCGCTTGGTGCTAAGAGTGACAAGTCGATGCCTATTACGATGCCTGAAAAGCATCTGGAAATATGCCAACTCCACGGTCTGATGCTTGGAATTATCATAACTTATATAGCAGAGGACTTTGGACAAGTACGTCCAGCTTGGTCACGCTGACAACGAGACCAAGATGCGAAAACGAGGTCAAATCAGTTCTATACAGCGAAAGAGACCGCGACCAATTAAGAGGCCACAACATCTTGGTCTTCACATCCTCTTCTTTGGTGAGGAGGAATGAAGGTGGATTCTACCAAAAGACAACTGCGGATTCTTTTTGATTAGCTTTCGTTTGGCTTTACTGGAAGATTCTTGTTGGGGGGGTTTTCATTTCGTATGAAAGTGCATGAATCACAGATTCCTAGGTCGATCTCACCGTTTGGCTTGTATACGACGTTCAGGTTGATGCAGTCCACGAGACCTCCTCCCTCGTTGGGTGAAAACGGACTGAGTTTTCGTCCATCATATGATGGACATCATTAGAGCTGGGTCTCATTCCTGTAAAAGTGTCATGTTAACACTAGGGCAAGAAGACTATACGGCTCTATCCTACCTCTTATATAAAGGAGGTCTCGTGGGCTGCGTCAACCTGACCTGAAGCCAAACGGCCGCAGTATGACAGAATTCATCCGTCCTCTTCTGGTGAGATCGACCTACGAACCTCTTCTTCATGTACTTTCATACGAAATGAAAGTCCCTCCAACAACGTTATCTCAGGAGATTCACTGAAAAATAGTTTCTCTTTTTGGAAGATTCTTGTTGACGCTGTTTCCGAGACATTCTCCTGTGATTCCGGTGAAAGTGTATTAAACTTTCGTCCGTCAATTATATGGACATCATCAGAGCTGATTTTCACTCTTGCAACCATATTCAAGCTAATGAGTCAAGAAAACCTTCACCGAACCCTTTTACCTGAAAGTGAACTGAGCTCAATAATTATAAATCAAGAGATTTCTCGAAACCAATCTTTTCTTTGCATCTACTTGATATCCCCCAACTTATTTTTAAGATCGAACCAATGACATACATACATACACATACACACACTTACACCTCGTCTATTTACAAGAGAACCATTGTTCGACGGCCTTATCAAAATCGGGACCCTTATCTTTACGCTTCTGTCTTTCTGATGTTCTCTTTTGTCTTTAGTGTAATTCCCATTCTTCTCACAATTTATCTCTTTGGTGTATCAAACTTGCCAATTTAGATTTAGATATTCGAATTATCTTCGCCAACCGACGATGACTGCTTTTAACCGGTTGGCTTTTAGTTTAGTTCAGTAAGCTGACTCCAATGCATCGTAGAAACATACATTTCAATGTTCCGCGGCGTATACCGCAGATTCTTCATTAAAAAGGTGCGCAGCACTAGTTTGGGGTAAACTTTAAAGGATCGCAAATAAGAACATTAGATATCACTTGTTATGCATGGTAGAATTGACCGATTTTATGGGTGCTTGCACCAGAATTCCGGTTGAGATACGCTGGTTTTGCTGTTTTCTTTCACATTACTAAAGAGGTTTTGCTGCACAACTGGGGTATTGGGTATTGAATTTCATAAGGTTTCTCATTGAGAGTCCCAATTTTTATTTGCACAAGGTGTATTTTGCAGGACTATCATTAGATCCTGTAGAAGAACTTTATTCACGTTATCCTATTTTCTAACTGCTCTTATTTACGGTTTTTGCATGCCCATTTGGTGTCGACTTGGACATATCAGTCAATCTGTCTTCTCATGAGTAAGCTGTCCCAGTTAAGTTATTTCCTTTTAACAGCATTGCTTAACTTTGGCGCCCTACATTTCTGTCCAATTTGCTCATAGCATGCACTCGATTGCCACACACACCCTATCTCCCTCCAGTGTGCCGACCCCACTAGTTGGATCGGGAGGTCTAAGTAGGATTATGACTTTTCCGGGACAACTAAGAGTCGAGTTTTTTAAAGCCCCTCATTAAATATAACTAAGAGCAGGTAATAACTACAACACATTTGGTCGTCATCCTTACATGTTGGAATTGCCGAATCCGGGACAGCTTTTTCCTTTACTAGTTTATATTTGCGAGAAGCCATTCATACCTTTCATTCTCTGACTCTCAGGTGAATTCGTTTCCAAAGTTTTTTCACATCCTTCTATACACATATACACAAAAACGCTCAACGCGTACATATGTACATACAAATACTTAGATGAATCTATATTCTTGTATTTCTAGCCGAAAATTTTTTTTCAGGCAAAAACGAAGCTCGGCCTATTATACCACCTAGGCCTTGACAATTCTTCTAGTTCCCTTTCAGTTTATGTATGGCAGCTGCAGCTAAATAAGTCGCTCATCTATCTGTACTTTTTCAGTTTAAAAGATTTCCCTCTTATTACTCTCAAGACTGTTGCTTCACACCTATTTTATTTG